CCTAAAATTCAAAGTAAGGAGAAAAATTCATTTCCAAAATGAGGGCTCTGGTGAAAGGCTGTTTCAATTCTAGTTTTGTCACTTACTATGTTTCTTCAGCATTTTTTATATATATATATATATATTTCTTTATATATATATTATATATATATATTGTATATTATATATATTTTTATATTTTATATATATATATATTTGCTGTGGAAATTTGTTGTGGTGTATATAAAGCATCCAAAACTTCCTGTTAAGTATGGTGGATTAAACACACCTGTTTTCTGGTCCATCCCCCAAATCTCTAGTTAAAAAAAGAACAAGAAAAAACTTTTAAGTATAAAGCCAGAAGGACAACAAAAATGGGAGAGAGCAACAGTGTTCTGCCTCTCCCATCTAGAATAGAAGCTCTTACAGTCACAAAGGAATGTCATGTTTATGTTACATAAAAATATTTATATAATCATAGTAATATAAACAAATAAGACATATAAAAATGATTAATTTTATTAGAAAGGCAAGAAAGAGTACTTCTATGTTGAATGGATATGAGAGCTGAAACATAACCTTCTAACTGACAAATCAAGAACTAGCCAATGACAGCAAAACCAAAACTCACAATAACATTTCAAATAAAATCAGTGACAAGATATTCCATCAAATCACCAAGTCAAACAGATGAGGGGAAGATAGCAACAGCTACTCAACTCACAGCACCATGTAGGGAGGTGGAAGGTAGGCTGACAGACCTCAGAACAGCAAATCCCCAAGTCACTGTAAAGTTTATAGGCAAAGATTTAAGATTTATTGCTAATAAAGATAAAATCACTGTTTTGGAGGCTATGTTGAATTAATATCAAAAAAAGATTGGTGAACTATTCCTATGCTCCAGTGTACAGACGATTTGTCACAGAAAATTAGAATATTGTTAAGCCACCAGATAATAATCTGTTGGATGACAGTTTTTAAAAATTGGTAGACAATTATTTAAATTAAAAATAAATAAAAAATAAAAATTGTTAAAAAAAATTGTCAATCTAAAAAGACTTTTTGTTTGTATTATGTCAATCTAGCAATATTTTTGTGTAATCTTTCCATCAAACTATTAGTTTTGTTCACTTTTTTGGCACTAAAGCAAATGATTGTTGACTATCACTGTACATTAATTTTAAAATTGTTCGGAATTATGAAATTGACCTAAAAAGTACTGAAGTCTCAGCTAAGTACTTAGGTATCCTTTTAGCATCAGGAATATCTACTCTCATCTTTAGGATATCAAAACTGCTATTTCCCCCTCAAAATGCATGAGAAGACCCTCCAGTATACATTGATATGGTGCCCTGAGGATGTCTCTATTTATAATGTGGGGTATCTCATGAACAATTCTGGTTCTAGGCAACAGTGCTCCAAGGCAGAACATAGTGGTCTGTCCCAGGTGAGTTTCTTAGGTGGCCCCCTATGATGCATATAGGGCTGCCCTCCAGGCACCCTATAAATTTATCATAAAATTCTAAAATAAAAAACATAATAACAAAAAGTTTGCCTTACTAACATGAAAATGATTTCCTGAACTCTGTGTAACTTTAAAATAGAGCAGAGCAACAGTTACCAGAAGAAAAAATGGGAGAAGCCTCTAGGACTCTACCAAACACTTTCTAGTACATAACTCTGAAAGAAATAAAAAAAGTTTCTGATTGTGAACTTCTGAAGGAGTATGGTGTCCACATGCTTTGCAGATATTACATTGTATCATAGTTGGAGAATTAGCATTAACAACTGTTACAGTTTATTGTGTCCAGAATTTTTCCTAAAAACCATTTTAACACTTTGTCTTCTCAGAAATGAATGCAGGCAAGAATGGCTGAACAAACGGTTAAATATTTGTTTGTTTTGGGTTTTCAAAAAGAGAAGATGGACTCAGCCAATCAAATTGACCTCTGGCAAAGGATTGCTCAGATTCAAGTGTGTCCCTCTCTGTAGCCAAGAAGTAATCTCCACGATAGTATTTCTGTAGATGTGACCTGCGACCACCTGCCGCAGACACACCTGAAATTTTCACCACCTATTGACAGAATATATTCCTGGACCCCATCTCAGACTTGAGTCAGATGCTCTGGGGATATGTCCTATGAACCCTGGGTAAGAACCACTGCTTAGACCTTCCCTAGAGACCTCAGGGTGGTGGAGAAAGCAAGGGATGGAGAAACAGCTCTGCACTGATAGAGCGATAGGCGCTTGCCTAAGCTGCTCAGCGTCAAAGTATATTTCTGGGGGAAAGTGTTAAAGAAGAGGAAGGTACACAGATTTTCAGAGCTCTCTGGAGGATTTCCCAGAGATCTTTGCCTGAATACTGATCTATACACGCAAAAGAAGACAGTACCTCTAACCAATTAAAGAAGCAACTGAAAGAATAGCCAATGGCTTCCCACGGCTCTTACAAGAGCAGACATACTGCATGATGCTACCAGAGTGGGAAAACCTGTTGATACACCAAGCATGAAGGATTGTCTTCAGAGGGTATCATTTCAACTACAGGGCCAAATTAGCCCTACACTAACGGTTTTTATGGTTATGCCTAACAAAATTTAGAACTCAACCTCAAAATAATCTGATATCTAAGAACTCAACTGCATGCTAAGACAAAATCCAGTACTATTTAAAGGAATACCAAAAAGTTCAGCACCCTATCAAGGAAGGGAGAATTTTCCCCCTAACCTCTTCGTTTCTTTTGCCTGCCTTAATAATTAAATTGGGCGCCTCCCCGGTGGCGCAGCGGTTGAGCGCTGGGCTGCGAAGCTGCCCACAGCTTCTGCAGCGCCGGTTCCATCCCCAGCTGCCGGAGGAGGGTCCCACATGGCGCGCAGACCTCTCCTGCCGCCCGCTGCTCCCCTCAGCAGTGTACTTCGTCAGTCTGCCTGCTCTGCTCCCCGCTCTGGCTCTGGTGAATTCTCTCACCCTCCCGCGCTTCTGACTGTACCCAGTGCTTGTATAAATAAAAAAGAAATAAATCTTTAAAAAAAAATTTATTTCCTGCTTTGAGGAGAAAGAGAGGTGTAGACTATCATTCATTGATTAACTGTCTTTTTTCATTCCAAATAATCAATATGCCATTTTGGCACATCATGGGATTAACTGCCCTGAGTCTCAACAGTGCCCAAACAAAAATACAATAATCACCAGAAAAAAAAAAGGCGTACATGACAGAGAAGATAGGAGGGGCAAACATGAGTGTGATGAAGAGAGGAATAAAGATGCTTTTAATTGAAACTTTATAAATGAAAAATTTTGCACCCAAAATAATATGTATTATAGGTGTAATTAACAGCAGATTTAGGCATTGCAGGGGAGACAGGGGGGAAGGGAGGATATGAAGACATGCAATAGACAATATCCAAAATGAGGTATAGAGAGAAAGGAAAATACTGAGGTGGGAGGGAGTATCAGTGACCTCTGGGATAATAGAAATTTGTCTAGAATGTGTAATCAATATCCAGAACCAAGAAAGGGGAGGAGAGGAAAATATTTGAAGGAATAATGGCTAAAAGCCTCCCAAACTTGGAAAATTCCAGTCATTTTTAAATTCATAATATTTCTAAGAAAATTCCACTCTCCAGTGATTGACTTGGGCCCTTGACTTGGGCAGATGAAAGAGCCAAAAATTAAAAGCTGTTACTGTGAAAGTCAGTATAACATCTTAACCCTTTTACAAAAAATAAAGAAAAAGAAAATAAATAATAGCTATAAGAAGTGAATTAAGGTTGATGTGTCACATGTATTTTAGCCTTAATTCTGAATTTCCTTGTTCTCATCTATCTAAATCAGGCCCTAATGATATTTAAATGAAGCTACTTGTAATTCCCATAATAGGCAAACAGAAGGGAGGTTAAAATAATTCCATTATTTCACAGTGATGAAACAGATTGAATATTTCAATTATTCTACTTATTATAGTACACATAGAACAATGCTCTGTAATCTGCTTCGATATATATAGGCTCTTTAACCACACCACGGTGGGACTAATACAGTCAATTTGGTTGAGCTTCACTCGCTGATTCAGTGTTGGAATAAAGTACTTCACAGATTAGCTTAGTCTGCAGCACTTAAAGGTCAGGATTTATTGTAATGTAAATCACAAAGCAATTTTATCTTGACAGAGATTACATACTGTTACAATATTTCTCGCTGAATCTAGTGATGCGTTTGCTTTTTCTTTGCAACTGCTGTGCAAATTGGACCGTAGCCCAGAAAAGAAAAAGAGATGGCAGGCTGCTTTGGCTTTTTAGAAACAACTTAATTCTCTTCATTTTTCAAAGTTCCACAAGAAAAGAAAACTCTGAAAATACACATAAAATCATACATAAACACTTGTAAACCTTTATAAACCCTAAGCTTGAGTGCACACAGATATCTGTGAATGACCATCTCTCAAATATTTTGATGTGTTTTAAAGAATAGTAAAATTGGTAATGTCTGACTGTTAATCATGCATACCCAAGTGTCTTGAGACACTATCTAAATTGTCTCTATTTAAGCAAACAAATAAAAACAATAAGAAGCATTCATGTTTTCCATTGACAGAAATTGCAAACAAAAAGAATACTTAGTGTAAACAAAGTAAGGTAAAGATTAGGGAGTCCACTGTGGTGTCAGTGTCTATAGTCAATCACAGAGAGACAGAATGGCAATACCTTCTGGATTTTTCTGTCTCTTTGGAGACTGCACTTACATTGGAAGGGACTGAAATCAGATGTCAAGAAGACCTTTTTTATTACCAAGGAATTAAATGAACTACCCAAAGAGTTTGAGGAGCCTTTATTCCTCAACATTTCAAGGCAAGAGCTACTAATTCTCCATCCTAAATCACATCTCCCAAAAAATAGCGTCAGTCAAACATTCTCATGAAGTTTAAACCAGTGTCTGCATTAAATTTTGCCACGTTTTGTCAATTCTTAATGCATAGTTTACCTTTATAATGCACAAAAATGATGATGAAAACCAGGACTTACCAGAAAACTTATCCAAGACTAATCTTCAGCTGTAATCACTCCATTTTTAGTCTTCTCACCTTGGTCACATTTAGGTACTAATCTCCATCCCTTGCAGAGCACTTTTCCTGAAATAAAAGATGATATATTATAATGCTGTTTATTCAAATACTGATTAGCCAATTCTTTCACCCTAATGATTGCGTCCTATCAAACAGGGTGTCCCATTTATCAGTCATTACAGGGCTACATTCCTGTTATCCTATATGATTTACTTGTGTTTTTTCAAATTGATTAAAAATTTATTTCAAAATAAAACATTTTAGGGCCTCCCCTGGTGGCATAGCGATTGAGCGCTGGGCTGCAAAGCTGCCCGCAGCCTCTGCAGCGCCGGTTCGATCCCTGGCTGCTGGCGAGGGTCCCACATGGCGCAACAGACCTCTCCTGTCTCGCCCGCTGCTCCCCTCAGCAGTGTATTTCGTCAGTCTCTCTGTTCTGTTCTCCGCTCTGGCTCTGGTGAATTCTCTCACCCTCCCGCACTTCTGACTGTACCCAATGTTTTTTAAAATAAATCTTTTAAAAAAATTTACTTTCAATATTGTAGACTTGACATAATTTTTAAAAATTGATATTTGCTTGATGCAGTTTTAAATTGTCTCATATATAACCTCTTGTCCATGTACCACATTTTGGGAATACAAGCTATTTGAAGAGTTGCGAAAATAAGAGGTAATTAGTACATATTCAATATGTATGTGGGCAATAAGTGATGTTCTTATTCAAAATGTAGGCATCCTTATCTACAATAACGTACAATTAGGTATAAGCACTTACCACCTGAAAGTTCCTGGTATATAGGTTGATTATACAACCCATTCTATCGGAACAGTCCCAGTTTATGTTTGTTGTTGTCCTAGAGCTCGGACTTTCACTCTCAAAAATGTACTGGCTTGCAAAGAGTGAAACAAATCCTTCACCCCCACCCCAGAAAACTGGACAGTCCAAATGTTTTTAATTGGTCTTATTCTTTGCTGAACATCTCTTCACACTCATAATAAAGTATTCCATCTGGTAGAACTGGAGAAGTTTCAAAACTCTTCTATATACATTATCTTATTTAATCTTCACAACAACCCTGTAAGTGAGGTGGTACCTATACATTATAAAGGAGGAAGTGAACACAGGAGGGTTTGATGGACACAACTGGGGCTCCAATTCAAGTCTCTGCTCCATATCAGATAATCTTTTCCTAGAAATTGGGAGTCCTAGGGGGTCTAGGAAGAAAAGAGGTGAAATTTGTGAAGCAGAAACATTCTACGAGCCCATTTCCTTTCATAGAGAATTTGGTGAGATTAAAGCAAGAAAAGGGCATGACTGCAGTGTTCCCGCATTCCCATTTCATAGGAGGAACTCATTTTCCATTAAAAGTACATTATAAGTACCGGTTAGATTGTCAGGATTATAATCAAAGGTCTTGCGAGTTAAATGGACTTTTGTGTTCTGCCCTGAAAATCTAACCAGACTCTTAATTACAAGTTAAATTTCATAACTCAACTCAATTTTCTTTTTTGATGCTGAAAAGAAAAGACTGAGATGGGGGGAAAGGAGGCACCCCTGTGTGGAGATAGATGAAAAGGGGAGGACATGTAACAAAATAGTCAGCCTGCCTTTTCTGCATAGCCCTCCTTTTCTCCTGCACCACTGTGTGCTGCCAAACACATCTATTCCTCCCTGCTCACATGAGGGAGGGCCAAAAGCTTTACATTACACCACTGGTTTACACCCTGAGGAACGCTGTGTGAGCTGCAAAATACACTTTGAAGCAACTTTCTAAAAGGCACATCTATATTTACCAATGTGTTCCACATGATTAAACTGTGAAATTTGTCTCCAGTTTGGCAATACCTTAGAGAGATGTTGTGAGGTTTAGAAAGAAAATGCCTGTGAAATGCCTTAAGCTCCATGGAAGGGAGGCACTATATACATTCAAGGTGCTGTAACACATCTTGATACTAGTGCAACAGCAAATAAAATAGCGTAAGTTATGATGTCACAAGTTGTCATGCAACATCATCCACAGTGAGAGCAAGAAAAATCTGTTTTTAAAATTCCTCTCTTCCCCTCTCCTCAGCATGTTAAAGCATATGGTATCCAAAACTACTTCACAGTGAACTTCATTTCTGCCACTGCTGTAAATGAAGTTTCTTTTCAGGCAGATGTCAGTGCTAAAAGTTTGGTGCTCATAAATACCAAATTTACATAAAATCTATATAGCATTTTTTTTCAGAAGTCTTTCTTTGTTGATGTCGGTTGATTGGCTGAGACACATAGTTGATTTACTTTTTCATAAAACCGTAATAGAAAGGATAATTGACTGAAGTATAAATAGCATTAGTTGAGGTCTCTCTGGTTGTAAATGTCATTGCCAGTTTAAAAGAATGAAAAAAGGTATGTAAATTATCTGAGATATTATTGGGCTGTTAATTTAGACATTTGCTTACAAACTACTTGTCACCACTTATGCAAAAAGCATTAATTAATAGGTGAAATAAGAAATATCATCCAAATAGCCTGTTGATAAAGCAAACCAGAGTTGATTGCTTCCCACAGTAAGAGAGGTCACCACCATGTCAAGAATCTAGTAGGTGACTTAGAAAGGTAAAGTCAAAGATAGAATACGTGTAAGAATAAGTTGGATCTTTTGGTGTGAGAAGGGGGCTTTGTTGTGATTGGGCAAATTTTTGATTTCATAGTTTAGGGTTGGTAGTCACAAAGAGAAGAAAATTTTGAAGAAAGGATTTCAAACCAGTTCTTGAAGAGTAAACAGTTGTTTGATGCTACTCTAAGTAGCTAATACAGATTTAAATGACTTTTCAGGAATATTCTGAAATGAGCAATAAAATATCTTCCTGGGCAAGAACTTTTTGAAATAGTTAAGTCAAATTGATGAAGACAGTTGAAACGGAAGAATAAAGTCACATTAATGAAGCATCTGAATAGTAAAGTCATGCTAATGTAAACCATAAATTGCCACAGTATTGATCATTTTGGTTCTCTACACCATAGTTACTAATGGTACTCAAATTTCATAGTAAAATTCCAGCACACCAAGAGCACCTCCATTTCTAAAAAAAGGATTCACTTTAGGGTCACGAAAGCAGATGAAGGCTTTCTCACACATATCACTGCCCTTCCTCGTTGTCATTGCTGACCATAATCAGACGGTCCATCATTTTTAGAGAAGTTACTACCTTCTTGATTCTCTGAGGTGCCCCTGATGCTCAGCCATATCCCCCAAAAGAAAAAAAAATTAAGTCTCCAAAAATTGGTGAGTAAAGTAACTGGCACTATGTTTCTGCTGACTACTTAGTGTCTCGATCCATGAGAGCCTCAAGAAATGAGATAGAAAGTTGAGGGTACTATAAAATAATTTGTACTTTAAGGGAAGAGTTATCGCTCATCATTTCCTAACCAGACAACTTGTGGTAAGGCACCTTTCATGAGAGAAGATGTTTCACAATCTAAAAATCCTAAATCAGATGACAGCACCAAGATGCTCCCTTGCTTTGCTCCTTTTCTTGCTCTGGTTCCCAGGGGTCCATGTAAGAGTTGGCCAGAGGGTCACTACACCAATACCCCTTGGACACCAGGGCCCTACACAGACTGAAATGAGCCATTGAAGAAATTCACACTTCATGGAAGAGGAGGTAGGTGGAGAAAACACTTGGACATAATGGGCCAGGGTAGGAAACTCAGAATGCTGTTGGCTCAGCCAGGGATGCTTGGATAGAAGAGAGCAGAAATGGCATGGAAGCAATCACTATTAAATAAAGGGAAACACATACAGAAGAGCTGGAGTACTCCACAGACTAGATGTCTGGTCAGGAAAAGAAAAGAGAAAGTGCTTTAGCTTGCACTCCCACTCCGCCACTCCTTAGGAATGGGACTGGCCTCTGACCTCAAAGCACACTGAAAGACTGCAGTGGTTGTTATTAGACATGTTTTGAATTAGGGAATTCTCAACAATGCAGATTCCCAGGTCCACCTAAGCAATTTTACTCTAATTTGTTATATATACCTGGAACAGAAGAACTCTGGAATGATTTTGATTCAGATCTTAAGAAAGAACTTAAAAGGATTAAGTAAAAGATAAAGAAAACAATGAAATTTTTGATAGTAATAACTCAAAAGTCATTATCAATCATCCCGACCACTAATGATTTTTCAAAACCTCTGAAATTAGATGTCAAATGCACAGGATCCTGGGATGGAATCTAAGAGCCAGTAAACTTTTACCTTTGTCCTCCAACGAAAGAATACTTAAAATTTTCAAATCGAGGTTAGTTGCCTTCTCATAAATTGAGGTTTTAAATTTTTCATTAGATTTATATGACATGGAATACAGTGACAACTGGGATTATTAAAAGTAATGTTCATGATAGATCATTCCCCAGGAATGATCAAGAATATGTAATAGTCGTAGCTGTACTATTTCACACCTTTCTATTTGAGTTGATTGTAAGCTCAGTAAACTCATGGTCACAGCACACAGTTAAGTGCATAATCAGTAGCAATGGGTTGCTAATGGAAATTACAAAAGTTAATTCATAAGTAACAGAATTTTAAATACATGTTAAACAGCTGGCACCAGAATTCTTCTTAGAGAGCGAAGGAACTATCTCTGTTTAGGAACATATCTGGATGAGCCTTTAGATGGGAAAATATAGGTCAGAAGGGAAAAAAAAGAACACACAGAGTACTAAATTGCCATGCACGAAAGATGTAAGTAATTTTGGGAAGGGGATGTTCCTTGAGACTGGAGGCATTTTGGAAAAGGACAGAGTTAAGCGATATGTGAGGAGCTAGGACACAAAAGAAATGGCTGAGGTTTTTTTCTTTAAGTATAGAAATGTTTAATACCATTTAAAGTTATCTGTTCGGCTGAGATATGAACTTTTTATATCTTTCCAAACATTTGCTGAAGTCTGCTCTAAACTAAACTTATATTAAACAAAGAACTCATGTTCTTAATCATTACTGGATAAAATTTATGTTCAGTGTTAAATAAATACATACATGCATACAAACACATATATACATACATAAAATAAAAAGATGTAAATAATCA